CTAGTTTTGGTTCCGTCACTTACGAACACACCGCTAGACCACAAGTTGGCGACGAGGAGGACATGAAACACAGGCCCGGACAGGTCATAAACAAGAAGTAAGCTTGCAAACTCAGCCGGCTGAAAATCGCAGTTCCCGAAAATGAGCATATCCAGGGTCTGATAAAGATGCGCACCTCAGCCGACTTAGACGATCTTCGCGCATCCGCAAAGCTCCTCAGAGATTAAATCTCTAAATAAGTGGGGAGGGGTGTAACTGTTATATATGTAACTGTAACTGTATCTATTATTATCTTAACTATAACTGTAATATAGAATAGTAGATGAGTAATGTAGAATAAACGATGTTTGTGTACATCTTGTAATCATAACTGAGCAGTACCCAACACATATAAAATACACAACACATGGCGCAGCCCGTGGTTGATTAAAAAACGAAAATCTGTTTTCAAGAACCATGCAGCCTCCGTAAAGATGTCTAAACAAAACATATGGGAGTTGTTACTATGAATCGAAAACTTATATCGCTGGTAAGTGAGTTGTTTTTTTATGGAAGTGGCTAAACTACTATTATAATATAATATACATACTATATAATATTAATATAAATAATTAATATTTAAACTATTAATGTCCTAATTAAATATGGGATGGATTAAAGCCACCAGTAATCTAAGTTTCGAAGGAAATTTAGGCAAAATGGAAGAAATGGAAACAAAAATTCCAAATTTAGATGTTAGCGTCTGGTGGTATACTAAATCACCTGAAATTAAAGTAGCTATTTATTGCATATAATTGGTGAAGAAGCACTTGAAAAATTTAATACTTTTAATTTAAGTGAAGAAGATAAGAAGGATGTTGACAAAGTAATGAAGCTTTCGAACATTTTTGCATACCGGAAAGCAACGAAAGTGTTGATAGACATATATTTTCTGTCGAACAACATGTAGGTGAATCGTTTGATGATTTCTAACCGATTTAAAGAAATTAAGTAGCAACTGTGGATTGCAGAATTAAAAGATAGTTAATAAGGGATAGAATAGTAAGTGGAATTCTAAATAAAAATCTCAAAGACAGATTATTAAGGGAAGATCAGTGAAATTGGAGAAATGTATAAAAGTGTAAAGCTTCTGAATTAGCAGAACTTCAGCTGAAATTTAAAGAGAAAATAAAATAGAGCTATCAAACGTAATAAATTCGACCTTCAGAAGAAAAAGTCAGCCTTGTAAGAAAGAACTATATGTAAAACAAAGTACTAAATCTTCTTCAAACTATCAAGGAAATAAGTAAATAATCCAAAACCATGTAGAAAATGTGGAACTTTTCATAAGTTATACAATGTCCTGCTTATAATAAGATTTGCTTGTACTGTAAAAAGAAAAATCACTTTCTAAAATGTGCACTTTAAAAATGTTAATGTTGTACAGAATATTAGAGCATGAGTTACATAATAATGGTAATGAATATATTTTAGGGTCGTAGAAGATATTAAATCCATTTTTAAAAATAAAACCGAATGGTTTGAAAAACTAAAAGTAAACATATCTAAAATTTATTTGTTAAGTTGGATACTGGAGCTCAGTTGTGGTGCTACCATTGCCTAAATTTAAACAATTAAATTTAAGAGAGAAATGTTTGACTAAATCAAAAGTCACTTTAAATAATTACAATGGTACTACAATTGATGTAGTTGGAAAAGTAAATTATTATGTGAAACATCGAAAGGGGACAAGGATGAAATAGAATTCAAGTTGTAGCATGTGATAAAAAGTTCCAGCTATTTTAGGGTTACCTACATTGCAAAAATTAAACCTAATACAAAGGATTTGTACAGTAAATCCTGATTCTAACGAAAAGTTACCAGAACTTTTAAAAGGATATCCAAGATTTGTTTTAAAGGAACTGGGAATTTAACTGGATATAATATCATATTAAATTAAAACCAGGAGCTATTAGTAAAATAGAACCCTGTAGGAAAACAGTCCACTTAGCTTTATTAAATCCATTAAAAAAGGAATTAGCAAGAAAGGAAAAAGATGGTATTATAAAGAAAAGTTAACCAACCAACAGAATTTGTGAATTTATTAGTGGTAGTAAGGAAAAAGGATAGTAATTTAAGAATGTGTTTAGATCCTCAGCACCTTAATCAAATATACTGTGAGAACATTATCACATACCAAACATTCAAGAAATTTCATCTCAAATGACAAATGCAAAGGTCTTTAGTATTTAGATGCAAAACAAAGCATTTTGGCAAATTAAACTGTCAGATTCAAGTTGTGAATTTACTACATTTAACACTCCGTTTGGTAGATATTTTTTTAAGGTTGCCATATGGACTGAGTTCATCACCAGAAGTTTTCCACAGAAGTTTTTTCTGAAATTTTTAGTGATTTAGAAGGGTTCAAAATATATAGATGACTATTAGTTGGGGGGTAAAGATAAAAAGAACATGATCAAGATTAAAGAAGTTGTTGGACAGGCCAGAGAAAAGAATGTTAAATTTAATTTAAATAAATGTAAATTTGGGCTGAATGAAGTGAAATATATGGGACATATATTTTCTAAAGATGGTTTAAAACCAGATGAAGACAAAATAAGGCTATTCTAGATATAAAACCACCAAAAAATGTGAAAGAGAATTAGAAACTTTCCTAGGAATGATACATATGTTTCTAGATTTATACCTAATGTATCAGAATTGACATCATGTTAAGAGATTTGTTGAAAAAAAAAGTTATCTGGAACTGGAAGCAACACATGAAAAAGCATTTAGAAGACTAAAAAGATGTCTTGGTAAATAAACCAGTTTTACAGTATTATGATATAAACATGCCAGTAATTTTATCTGTAGATGCATCTCAAGAAGGACTAGGAGCAGTCTTACTGCAGAATAATTTACCAGTGGCATATGCATTAAGGCATTAACATACACAGAAGAATTATGCTCAAATTGAAAAGGAAACTTTAGCTTTGTATTGCGTGTGAGAAATTTCACCAGTATATATTGGAAAAATATACTGTGGAAAGTGATCATAAACCATGGAAATCAATTTTTAAAAGCCATTAAATAAATGCCCGTAAGACTACAAGAATGCGTATACGATTACAGCCATATCAGTTGAGATAAAATATAAACCAGGAAAGAACTTTTTATAGCGTATTATTATCAAGATCAATTCACTGATAAAGGATCTGATTTCTTTGAAGGAGAAATAGAAGTCATATGGATTAGTTGTAGAATGTATACCAATGTCTAATGGTAAAATGGAAGTTTTTCAACTGGAAACCGAAAAGATGAAGAACTACAAGTTTTAAGAAAATTGATTAAAACTGGATGGCGAGATGAAAATGTATGGTTCCAGAACTGGCAAAACCATATTTTAACTTCAGAGAAGAACTATCAGAAGCAAATGGATTATATTAAAAATTCCTGTGTTTGTACCAAAGTTTACGAAAAGATATGTTAAGTAGAATTCAATGGTCATTTAGGAAGTAGTAAAATGCAGATCAAAGCAGAGAAATATATAATTGGCCAGAATGTCAAAGAAATTGAAGATTGGTACTGATTGTCAAACATGTTAAGTTTACAAAAGCTATACTAAAGAACCATGATATTCTAAAGAAAATACATAATGGTCCAGGGAAGTATTGGGAACAGACCTCTTTACTTTCAAGGAAGGATTATCTAATAGTTATAGATTATTTTAGCAAATATGTTGAATTGGACATTTGGAAGATTTGTCAAGTGTAGCAGTGATAAAGCATTGAAATCAATTTTTGCAAGGAATGGTATTCCGAATAGTATATTCGGATATGGTCCACAAATAATTGCAGGAAATATAAAGATTTGCAAGAAGATGAATTTGTGAAACCAGACTTCAAGTCCAAAATACCCACAGTCTAATGGAATGGTTGAAAGACTATTCAAACTGTCAAGCGAATGTTTGAAAAAGCTGTAGTTGACAACAGGATCCATATTAGTTTTACTGGAATATCGGAACTCTCCTATTTCAGATGAAATTAAGTCACCTTCAGAATTGATTTTGGAAGAAAAGTAAATGGATTGATGCCTATAAAGAGAATTTTGTCCAAGCTAACGATATGAAGACCATAAACAACATTTACTGAAGAGACAATCTTACAAAAAGTTATTATGATAGGAATGCAAGACCATTAAACGACTGAAAACAGGAAGATCATTTATAAGAGAAAGGGAAAAACTAAATGAAAGAGGGAAAATTATAGAAAAAGCAGAAAGACACTTCATATAGGATTATAAGAACATATGAAGAATTGTAGAAGGAACAGAAGAGACCTTCTTAAAGGAACTAATCAGGAAGAGTTGCAATACAAACACTATGAGAATGAAGTTATAGATGAGCCCGAATACATGAAAATAGTAGGAGCACTTCAAATTTAGATGTGCCTGTAAGTCCTTTCAAATCTAACAGAAGTGTTGTGTCCCAAATAGCAAAAGAAGTATGTAACATCAAATTTTTCAAATGGCATAACTAAGTCACTCGATCTGGGAGGACTGTTAAAACCTTAGTATTAAAAGAATATGTTTAATTTACTACTATTTTTTTTTATAAAAAAGGGAGATGTTATATATGTAACTGTAACTGTATCTATTATTATCTTAACTATAACTGTAATATAGAATAGTAGATGAGTAATGTAGAATAAACGATGTTTGTGTACATCTTGTAATCATAACTGAGCAGTACCCAACACATATAAAATACAACACAATTTGACTTTGACGCTGCTTTACTAGAAAACAATATATGTGATTAAAATTAATTTAAGATGTCCACATTGCTGGTTTTAAAGAGGCAAAGCTAGAGCAGACGCAACATAATGACATTAAAACTACTACTAGAGATATATATATATACTTCTTGTTATAGTAACCTTACTTCTTGTTAATCCTCCCCTCCAAGCTCCTATAAAGGGTTAGCTCTACGCTCCCTAAGAGGATCGTGTGGGTGAAGAGTCGCACAGAGGAATGAACTAGCCTTTCTGTTTATCCCTGGTTGGGTGTGTCCTTTTTTGCCCGAATAAATGGCAACACTGCAAATGCCTGAAAAGTAAACAAGATGGCATCTCCAATAAGTGTGGAACCACATATTAACAGTAAAAAGCCTTCTAGTAAGCTTATTCAGTTTCTCTTCCCTTGTTTTTGTGTAAATAATTTAATATTAAAAAAATAATGTCAGAATTTTTTAAAGATTGAATACTAATTCATTGTGAATTGGACTGATTTTTAAAACAATTAATATTTGCTAACTTTTGCAAGAGCAAATTTAACTATTTCTTATTACAGTATTAGGAAAAAAAAAAAAAAAAAAAAATCGATTAAATACTCCTCTTGAATTTTTTGTAATATAGTAGCTATATTAATGCACTTTCATTTCTTCAAAATAATAAGGCATACGACTACGGTCTCTACGATTAATGCGCTAGGTTGAAAATGCAAAATTCCGATATTGGAAATTGTAGTTCATCGTTAAAATTTGAGAATATAAATTAATATGGAAAAACTCTCACTTCCTCAGTAGTATTAAGAAAATTTAAGTAAGATTATCTGTGCATTTTGGAAGTGAAAAGCGTCTAGTATCATATTTCTGTTGAGCTGTTATGGACTATTTCGGAATGAATAAAAGCATCTAGATTATGTATAATTTGTCTCTGACACCAGTTCATGCAAGTTAATAGAATTTTTTTTTTTTTTTTTCGAGATATACGTAGTTGGTTTGCGTATTTCAAATTGCAAATTTACTTTTGATCAAAGTAGATTGATAATTATGATATATCTTCTGATTTTCATTTAAGCAGTTTATTATGTAATAGTCTAATATTTATTTACATTGTTAAGTACAATGTATTAATTTGCCATGAGAAGTCTTAAAATGGTTATAATTTTTTGTTTGTGTTTCATTTGTATTTTGATTACTATTAATATAAATATATGTAATTTTTAATGAGTGCAGAAAATAAATTCTGTTCAACTTTGCTTTTCTGTTTAATATTTTGTTAGTAGTATTACGTCTTATAATAAATTCTGTCCCTTATGAGAAGATTGTTACTACCTAGCATCTTACTTGGAAATTTATTATATTTTTTGGTACTTTTACATAAAGGATATGCCATGCATTTTGTGCATTATTTTGTGTACTCTATTCTCATGCCTTTAATTTGATACTAGGCAAAACATAACTATCAGAAGCAACAAGAAGGAAATATTCGGTTAATCTTTGGATTATGGTAACTTGGCAATTTTTGGCGAAAATTTGGCAATCAACCCTGCTACAGAAACCTTCTACTTTTTTTTTTCGCCGCCATTTTGTCTTCACAAAGTAAAGACAGGTTTCGGCTGATCTTGGAATATGGTAACTGGTAGTTTGGCGACATTTTGAAGGCACATAAAGATTACTACCTAGGACTTTGGTAATAATGTGAGCAGTACTCAGTTCCGATTACGCATTATTTTGTGTGAGGGAAATGACAGATCATGAGATATGTCATGTGATATTAATGGACAAATTACAGTTCTTTAATCGGAAAAGGGGGGGGAATTTGGAAAAATATCTGTGGCAGTATATTATTTTGTATTAAGCTTCATTGTGTGTTGTGTGAATTAGTGTTGATTAATTTTTGGATTGTATGGCGCTGTCTAAAGTGAATTGTAGATTTTTAATGCGTTTATGTGATAATTCAAAAGAATTGGTTGAATGGTGCATGAGTGTAGGTTTAATCGCGGATAAGTATGAATGTTTGGAAGATGAAGGTTTTAAACATCTTCCTGTGAACCATAAATATTATTTTAAAGATCTGGAAACAGGTGCACATACCAACACAATAGAGGGCACGTGGAGTGCTGTAAAAAGCGGCATTGTGATAAAGAGAATTTTGCTTTTTATTTAGCGGAGGAAGTGTGGAGGAAACATTCGCAGAAAAAATCGTTCAATAATTTTATTGAATCAATAATAAAAGTGTATCCACCACTGTAAGCAAGATTCTGAAGAAGATTACGTACGTAAAGTTAGTATTTTTAATTATTTGATGATATTATTTTTATGCATTGTTCTAAATGTAAGGTGGAAGTAAAGTTTGGTTATTATTGGGAAAATTGTTATTAGCAATGATTTAGTTTAAAGTAATTAGGATTGTAAGCTAATTTTTATTAATTTAATGTATGTGCTTATTTATATTTTATGTAGTGTTTTTGAATTTAATTATATTTTAATTAAATGATAGTTATATTGTGAATTTTATGTTTGTAGGAATTTGGTATACGTTTTAGTTGAAGTAAACGTGCATGGAAATAATTTAAATATTTGACACTAAGTATTTGTAACCATTTGTAATGTTTGTGGTATGAATTAGTTGGTGACGTTTATAATATAATAGATAATGTAGAGGTAAAAGTTTTTGGATATTTTATTTATTTTATACATGGAAATGTTCATATTTGGAAAGGGTATATACTTTTTCGCGATCAGGTAATTTCATATATGTTCTTTTTACCGGGTTTAAAGATTGAAAAAATTTTCATGTATTTTCGTGAAAATTTTTCTAATTTATGAGAAAAAAGCAGTGTACATGGATATAGTGAAGAGTGTGTGCGCAATGCCATTTTTGTGCAATTCTGGGATGTTTTTTTAAGTAAAAATAAGTTGACGTGTACATGGTTTAGTGATATTTAATTAAATGATAGTTATTTTGTGAATTTTATGTTGTAGGAAGGAATTTGGTATACGTTTAAGTTGAAGTAAATGTGCATTGAAATAATGTAAATATTTGACAATAAGTATTTGTAGTGTTTGCAGTATGAATTCGTTGGTGACGTTAATAATGTAATAGATAATTTAGAGGTAAAAGTTTTTGGATATTTTATTTATTTTATACGTGGAAATGTTCATATTTGGAAAGGGTATATACTTTTTTCGCGATCAGGTAATTTCGTATGTGTTCTTTTTACCTGGTTTAAAGATTCAGAAAATTGTCATGCATTTTCGTGAAATTTTTCTAATTTATGAGAAAAAAAGCAGTGTACATGGATATAGTGAAGAGTGTGCGCAATGCCATTTTTGTGCAATTCTGGGATGTTTTTTTAAGTAAAAATAAGTCGACGTGTACATGGTTTAGTGATATTTTAATTAAATGATAGTTATTTTGTGAATTTTATGTTTGTAGGAATTTGGTATACGTTTTAGTTGAAGTAAACGTGCATGGAAATAATTTAAATATTTGACACTAAGTATTTGTAATGTTTGCGGTATGTATTCGTTGGTGACGTTTATAATATAATAGATAATTTAGAGGTAAAAGTTTTTGGATATTTTATTTATTTTATACGTGGAAATGTTCATATTTGGAAAGGGTATATACTTTTTCGCGATCAGGTAATTTCATATATGTTCTTTTTACCGGGTTTAAAGATTCAGAAAATTGTCATGCATTTTTCGTGAAATTTTTTCTAATTTATGAGAAAAAAGCAGTGTACATGGATATAGTGAAGAGTGTGTGCAATGCCATTTTTGTGCAATTCTGGGATGTTTTTTTAAGTAAAAATAAGTCGACGTGTACATGGTTTAGTGATTTATTTTAATTAAATGATAGTTATTTTGTGAATTTATGTTTGTAGGAATTTGGTATACGTTTCAGTTGAAGTAAACGTGCATGGAAATAATTTAAATATTTGACACTAAGTATTTGTAACCATTTGTAATGTTTGCGGTATAAATTCGTTGGTGACGTTTATAATATAATAGATATTTAGAGGTAAAAGTTTTTGGATATTTTATTTATTTTATACGTGGAAATGTTCATATTTGGAAAGGGTATATACTTTTTCGCGATCAGGTAATTTCATATATGTTCTTTTTACCTGGTTTAAAGATTCAGAAAATTGTCATGCATTTTCGTGAAATTTTTCTAATTTATGAGAAAAAAGCAGTGTACATGGATATAGTGAAGAGTGTGCGCAATGCCATTTTTGTGCAATTCTGGGATGTTTTTTTAAGTAAAAATAAGTCGACGTGTACATGGTTTAGTGATATTTTAATTAAATGATAGTTATTTTGTGAATTTTATGTTTGTAGGAATTTGGTATGCGTTTTAGTTGAAGTAAACGTGCATGGAAATAATTTAAATATTTGACACTAAGTATTGTAATGTTTGCGGTATGAATTCGTTGGTGACGTTTATAATATAATAGATATTTAGAGGTAAAAGTTTTTGGATATTTTATTTATTTTATACGTGGAAATGTTCATATTTGGAAAGGGTATATACTTTTCGCGATCAGGTAATTTCATATATGTTCTTTTTACCGGGTTTAAAGATTCAGAAAATTGTCATGCATTTTCGTGAAATTTTTCTAATTTATGAGAAAAAAAGCAGTGTACATGGATATAGTGAAGAGTGTGTGCAGTGCCATTTTTGTGCAATTCTGGGATGTTTTTTTAAGTAAAAGTAAGTCGACGTGTACATGGTTTATGTGTATGTGTTATTCTGAAAAACGCGCAAGGAGTTTGCGATTGTGCACTTTTTCCTTATTTTGCAGTGAATATTTGTCATGATTAAGCAGTTTTGTTAGATAAAATTTCTAGCATAATTGTAATTCGGCTAGGAGATTGTTGGAAAAAGGTATTCAGTAAATAAAAAGAAAAGAAACATGTCTTTACTTCGTGAAGACAAAATGGTGGCGGAAAAAAAAAATAGAGGGTTGCTGTAGCAGAGTTGGTCACCAAATTTTCGCTAAAAAATCGCCAAGTTACCATAATCCAAAGATCAACCCAGGTTTCTTTTTTTTTTTTTTATTTACTCAACATTTTTTCCAACAATCTGCTAGCCGAATTACACTTATGCTAGAAATTTTATGGAACAAAAGTGCTTAATCATGACGAATATTAACTGCAAAATTGGGAGAAAGTGCAGAATTGCAAACTCCTTGCCACGTTTTTCAGAATGGCACATACACAGTAACCATGTACACGTCAACCTATTTTTACTTAAAAAAAATCCCATAATTGCACAAAAATGGCATTGCACACACTCTTGACTTTATCCATGTACACTGCTTTTTTCTCATAAATTATAAAAATTTGCACGAAAATGCGGGAAAATTTTGTGAATCTTTAAAT